AAATTCTTGTTCGTGGCTGTGTGCGCACTTTAATTGATTGAAGTTGAGCAAACGGCCTCTCTGCGTTTGTTTATGTGAGGCAGGATGATGCTTTCAGACGACGCTGCGTGAAGGACGAGCACAGCCTCTGAGCAGTGCTTTGAATCTAGCATCAGCAGCTCTATAGCAAATGAACCAGTTTCTTCTGATTGCCTGATGCAGAGCACCAGTGTCTCCGCTGCAGTGCGCTAACTCTGCTGATTTTTGCACAACAAGAGTGTTGAAGCGGTGACAGTGGAGCATCAGAGGTCTCTCTGGGGGTTCATAGTTTTTCTAATGCTTTGCTTTTGCAGCCTATCGATGCACCGCAGTGCTAAAGCCCACGCGCTACATTTGTCTCACCATATCCAGCGAGGTCCAGCCTACATCTTCTGGACTGGCAGTCAGAATGATTTCATTAAACATTAGTTACACAATAATATGTCGTTAAATGATTTAATGATACTTACAGTGTTGGTTGGTTGATCCACACTGTTTCCCTTAAATTTGCCACAGATATTAACGATCTAATAATTTTTCTAATAATCTTCTCTCTGATTTGATATTTTAGGCTTTTGGCACTTCAACATTAGATAGATTAACATAAAGAATATTTATGGTGTCGGGTGGATTACAGTGATTTCGGATGATTGTTTATGAAAGCTGTCAAAAACATTTCAGTCCCATCACTCTCAGTTTCTCTTTATTTTAGTGCTACTTAAAAATATTCATCATACCAGCTCAATGTCAGCATGTAGGTGTGGTGACATTAGCCTTTAGCTGCCACTCTAACGCTGCCACTTCACCACGGTTCCTCCGTTTGTGGAAAGTGGCTCTCTCAGCGGTTCACTGGACTCCTAAAGTTTTAGCTTTGTAACATTTTCTAGACTGACTGTTTCTTATTTGTTGCTGAGCTTATTTAAATCATAGCCCGATGTGTTGCTTTCAGAGCTCTTTTAGTCTGCTTCATATTGTCAGGTTCTATTTAAGTGCTTTCTTGGGTGAACAGGCCGGGCTTTGGCTGGTGAAATTGAGCTCAGCTGTCCAAAAAACGTGGTTAATCGCTGATAATTGATGTGGGAGCAGTAACTTTTTCAAGTGGGACTAGATGGGTTTGGATAGCTTCCCCCCCTAATAAATTAAGCCATCATTTAAAAACATTATTATATATTTACCTGGGTTATCTTTGTCTAGTGTTAAATTTTTTTAATGATCTGAAACATCAACAGTATGTGCCTGTCTTCCTTTCCGACAGAAGACCTCTGTACAGGACAAACTCGCAGTCACTGCCAGAGGTTACCTGCTGTTGCATCATCTGCTGTCGTGTTAGTATCTAATGTGCAGCAGCGTGTCCCTGCAGACCCCCCCTCTGCTGTTAGCACCTGTTTCCTAGATGTTCTCAACATGTGCCGTGATGATGATGTTGTTTATTGCAACTTGTGCTGTCAGAAATCAACCAAAGCAGGGATTTCTAGAAAAATTTAATTACAGTTTCTGTGACATTTCTTAAACTTTTTTTACATTATCTACAAACTGCACTATTTTATTTGTAGATGACAATTTTTCAAAGTGAGTTTTAAGAATTTTGTTAATAAGTAATTGTGTAGATTATACTTCTTATGGCATTCTTGTCGCACACAAGACCATCAAAGCTGTCGTCCTCTGCTAGCATAGCACAGCAGGTTCAGGTCTCTCTGAATTTCACCTCTGCTCTCTACATAACTGTACACACAGCGGTCACGGCTCAGCTGCCAGTCCCGTGGCTCCTGCTATGTGTCAGGTTGTTGGTTTTGTGTGATTGGAGCCCTGAGATCCCTGGCAGGTTGAAATCCCATAAACGAGTATGAGGGTTTCGAATGTATCTAGTGGCTATTTTGAGGAGGGTGAGACGGAAGAGGTGACGGCAACGAACAGAAGCCTGGGATGTCACGCAGGTCTCTACAGACATCGCTTTGTCAGGATGCCTCCCGACCTGGGTGTAGCTGTCACTCGCACATGAAAGAGACGGATGTGCTTTGGCTGGAGTTGGGCAGTAATGTATTTTTCAGAAGGACAGGTGCTGACCTGCCAGTTGCACTTTTAAACCGCGATGTTGTTGCCACTTGTTGTTAATCACTTCCATGTGCCAGGCTGTATTCAGCAACGACATTGAAATATAATATGCTAAATTAATCCCCTTGTGTGCTGCAGTAATGACCTGACACTATATTAAACTACCTAATGTTGTGCAGCTCACTTTGTCAGGCCGGCTGTCGCTCCCTCTGTGGAGCATTGCGCTGCAGTAGATTGGTTTCTCTCTCTGCACCAAACCAAACACCTTCCTGCAGGACTGTGACCCAAACAATACAGCGCTCTATTAAGCAACGTGATATTAGGGTTGCATTAAAACTGTACGGCAGAACATTTACAGCCGAGGTAGATGAAAAGCAGAGCAGTACAACTGAACTTCTGCTTCTAATAACACCTAAAAGGGCCACAGGCTCCTGATCCATGCTCATCATGTTGTCTCTTGTATCTTAATGTTAATACAGTTTATTCATTTCACCCAAATCACAGCTGTAATGTAATCGTTGCGAGGCAGCATGTCAGTTTAACCAGGTAGATGGATAGAAATCAGACGTGGTGCTGTGCAGCTAATGCTCTGTGAACAATAGAAGCTGGCTCTTCCCTGGATAGTGACTTATCCCTCTAAGTCTCTCATTGCGACTCCTGACAGCTGCACCTAATGAATGGCTTTCCTCCACACACACACAGACACACACAGCCCTTCGATGCCCCTCCAGCCTTTGGCTCGCCTGCTAAGCAACGCACTCGCAGGCTTCAGTTTTTTACTTGCACCTACAAGTGCAACATGCTGCTTAAAAAACTGCAATAGTGAGAAAACAGCAGGGCTCTACATTTTCAGAGCCCCAAGTGGGAATTGCACTTATTTGTTTCCAGGGATGAAGAAGACTGACAAATGAACCCTCGCGGGAGGGAAGCTGGCATATTCTCTTCTTCTCTTCTTCCTGCCTCACACGGCCCTAGAGTATTCATTATGACCAGAATAGACACCTTCTTTTTAGCGTGTTAGCACATTCTCAAAACAAGCCTTGGACCGCAGGGACCCAGAGGTGCAACAGGAGCCTTGAGAATTGGGAATTTCTTCTCTCCCTGTCTGCTGTGGTGAAGCTGTTTGCCAGCAGCAGCCTCTCTTGACTGGTAATAGCATCAGTAAGTGGAGAAGATTGACATAGATTAGGGTGATGGATATAAGCGCTGCTGGGTTTTCTTCATTGATGCACATGAGGGTAGATCGGAGATGTGTTTATGTGGAAGCGGCACACAGGAGTGGTTGGCTAGCTTTAACGAGACCCTCGTCTATTTTGCAACATTTTTCTCTTTCTGGACTGCGTTAAAGAGACAGAGACCATTCAACACAAACACATGGCAGGCTTGCAAAGTGTCCTTTTGTCTCCTGACAGGCTGGCAGATGTCCCGGGAAGCTCTTCCGTGTAGAGCGGGAGTCAATAGCCGTTATTTTGATCTCGCACCAGAATTGACCTCCCCTGACCTTATCTGTAATATTACGTGCACCTGGGGTTGCTAATACCTCGCTTAGCATTTCAATGCTGAACGTTAGAGCTCTGTTAGCTCAGCCTGCTCCCATTGGAGTGTCTCAAGGGGGTAGTGTCAGGGAGATGGAAGCCACCAGTGACAGGCGGCTGCTCTGCAGTGCCGGTTGCTGCCTCATCCCAGGGGAACTGGTTCCCATCTACACCTCTTTGGCAGGTAAAGGATTTAGCTGCTTCACCAAGGGGGAGGAGGAGCCCTTGCCCCAGCTCTAAACCCCCCTGAGGCCCAGAGAGAGCTAATTACAGTTTATGTATGCACTGTCATCTCCCATGAGCCTCTCTGCCTCTGGAGGAGTCAAGCTGGTGGCTGATGTCTGAGCACTTTGTTCTGTAGGAGGAGGTCCCTGCAGAGAAATACCCCGGACAGAGCTTATTATCCTTTTTTTTTTTAAGTTCAGCATTGCACAGCGCTTAGTCATTCTTTAGATGCAGTCATTTTGGACTAATGGAGTCCAAACAGGCCGTTTAAATGACACGTAATTGCTGTTGCTTAGCAATTACATGTCAGATGGCTATCACACTACATGCAAAGCTGAATTCATTCCCTGAAATGTTTTTACCCCACACAGTGCTCTTTTTATGCATATCATCAGTTGAGCTAGTTTGCATGTGGTAAAGAACATGCATCGGTGTTTCCAGAGAAGATTAGCACAACTGCACGTACTATTTGAATAAGCTAATTTTTCAACTGTAGAAGCGATGAAAAGGTGAAAGGCAGCAGAAACCTGATAAACGGCAAAAACTATGCACGCACATCTGCACGCTGTCGCTATTATTCAGCACCAGTTTGCCTCTGGTATGGAACAGATCTCAGTTTGTGCAAGGTGCATGGAAAAGTGCCTCATTAAAAATGTAATGTGGCCTACAAGTGAAAGCACAGAAAACGAGAATGCTCTTAAAATGAAGGTCCTGAGTACAATGCACTACTGGTTCATTCTGAAAAGCAGAACACTTTTTGGTTCGCGTCGTTCCCCCCGGGGACGGTGTTAAAGGCTGCAGTGGTGTTTGTGCTGGCAGAGCCTAAGGAAGGTGTGTCAGTATGAGGAGGAAGAAGGAAAAACTGTGTCTGTTTGTGGAGCTGTCAGCTGATAAGCTCACACACCAAACATGACAGAGGAGATGTCACTAACAAGGACAGAAGCTGCTCACACTCACAGCTCACTCACTGTAGTGTCTGCAGTAGGGGGCTGTGGCTCTGCAGGTACAGCAGGTCGTGTGTTGTTTGGAAGCTTCGGTCTTTGGTTCCTCGGGTCCACCTCAGGATATCGTTGCATGTTAAAATGACATCATCGATACATTCATTGTGGCACGTCACGGTTAATCTGCGTCTTTTATCTGTTTTTAACACTTGTTTTTGTTTTTGTGCAGTTCCAGATTTTGGCATCGATGTGCTCTCCACCAATGGCAGCCAGGAGCCTCACGGCCCAGGCCTCCTCAAGGTGTCAGGCCTAGAACGCAGTCAAGAGAGGAGCCAGGAGAGTTGCAGAGACAGCCAGCTGCCTGTACCCAGCACCCCCAATCCACCTTTGTCCCCCCCAACCCTCCCCGTGTCACTGCCCCAGCCATCCATCCCCCAGACCCCGTCCCCTCTTCGAACCCAGCCAAACGGGCCCACTCAGCCTTCAAACCACCTGCCCCCACGCTCAGAGGCTCTTCCCAGGCCTCAGTCACCCGCAGCCCTGCCTCTTGCCCAGGGCCAAGAGCCCTCACCAACCCCCCCTCCCCGGCACCAGCACCAGCCTGAAGTGCTATCCCACCCGAGGCCTCCACCTACACCTAGCCTTCACCCACACCCACCATCTCCCGCCCTTCCGAACCACCACTCTCACCAGCAGCACCCCATCCAGTCAGGGTCTCACCGGCCCCCATCGCGCTGCCACCCCCGACCCCTTTCTGCCTACAACAGCCTCAGCCTCAACGGCCACAGGTAAGCTACTGTCAGACAGCCTCGAAGTGCATGGGGGAAAAAAGCTCCACACACCCACAGCTCTCATGTTCTCACAGGCTCTAATGCAGAAAATTCATGCAGAGCTGTTCAGGCAACACCTCCATATTCACACACACTTGAAAATTCAAGAATATCTCTTGAGCTGGAAGTGCATATACGGCCCGATCAGTATGTAAATTGCCATCAGGAAGTCCCCCAGCCAAACTGTAGCGCTGATTATTAACAGCGGAATAAAAGGGCCACACTGCACCCTGAGTGCTGGGCTTTTTTTTAATCCACCCACACATCTGAGCTCGGACTCCCAGTAGTTTGGTGTAACCTTGAATCACCATATTGTTCATGCTTTGTGGATTTAAGGCTGTTTTGGATGAAAACAGAAGGAAAAGTGGCTCAGGAGAAATTTTCCTAATTTAAAAGGATCTTCTGTGTATTCAAATATGTAGTTTATTTCATTGAAAACAATAGCAGCTAAGCTTATTCTATCGTATCAGTTGAGAAGCACCGAACCCTGTGAGCCTCTCCATTAATGTTAGACCTTGAGATAGCTCCTTCAGAAGCCACTCGGTCCCAACAACAGCTCTGCCTAGCAGGCTCTCAGGACTTGGCTTTCTCTGCCTGACTCTGCGCCAGCTCTGCCAGTCTGCCAGCGTGCCAACAGGGCCTGGCACCCGCATGTGAATAATCACGGCTGGGGCCCACAGCGACGAGCGAGCGCTGCAAATGAGCTTTTAGGCTTAGTGCGTGGAGCTGTGGAGACGCTAGCTCCGTGACTGCCCCGGGGGAAACCCACACACACTACAAAAGACTGTTTGCTCACACACGCCCTCTCGCCCTCTCATCCCATTTCCGATGCACATGTTCTGTACCTGGCTGTGGAGGAAGTGCCTTAGCAGAAGCTGTTCAAAGACAGATGCTCGTTCTGTTATGTTTGCCAGCGGTGGTTTATTTGCATCCGAGGCTGCTGCGAACGGGGTTTTCGCAGATCGTGTTTGCCCTGGATTCTGTGAAGCACGAGAGAGAGACGGGGAGGCATTTGTAAATGGAAGGCAGCTGAGGCGTGAAAATGGCGTGCTAGGAACTGAACGTCAGAGCAGATGGAGACGAGGGGATGTGGAGGAACAAGTGTTAATTTTGACTGATCACGCCTGGCTTAACCACTTATCTGCCTTTTTCTCTCTCTCTGTCTTAATCTTTACAGCAGTAGCAGGAGCAGCACCCCAGGCACCAAGCCCCACGGACCCCCTACGCCCTCCCTGCACCTCCCCCACCACCCACCGCCTCCTCCGGCAGCCGCTGCAGCCTCCACTTTTCCCTTGGCCTTGCCCACTAACCAGAATAACCCCCACAGCTTCCCGTCTGCCTTGCAGTCGTCTCCACACCCACACCACCCCAATATGTTTGCTCCTCCAGCAGCCTTGCCTCCACCGCCACCATTGACGTCTAGCACCCTGCCAGTACCCGGACATCCTGCTGCTGGGAGTGCCTACTCAGGTAAACAGCACAAGCAGCTCGCAGATGTCTCCACATCGCCCCCAAGTGGTTTGACAGAGGACTGCACATTTGACTGCAAAAGCAATCAGCAGGTTCTTATTTAAACCAGTTGTTGCTGGGAAGCTCGAGACACATGACAAGTACATAATGAATGATGGACGCAGAGCGGCATTTCATTTTGAAGCATTCGATACGCAGAGACAGATGCACATGCTGCCCTGGTAATTATTTAAAGAAATAAGCAGCCACGTCCAAGATGATCCACGTGCACGTCATGCCATCGCTTTGTGTGTTTATAGTTGTGTGGACAGTTCAAGTTCACACTCTCGGTCTGCACGCATTACAAAAGCGATCACAGAGCCTGTGCACATTTCTGCGCGGTGCTGTCAAGCTAAATGTCAGGGTCAGTGCAGGGAGGGGCTCTAGCAACATTCCCAGAACGTCCATTTCACCTGGAACGGCGATCATGTGCAACAAATCAATTTGGTCAATACGGGACGGAGCGAGCTGGATGTTTTCCAAAGATACTAATGAAATTTTTATGAAGAGAAAATTCCAGCCGCGCTCCCAGCCCAATAAAGCCTGAAACGAATGCAGAAGATATTGTAGCGAGCCACTGTGGAATAGGAAGGTAAGGTTACTCTGGAGGAGATATAATCTCTCAAGGCTGGGTTTGTTGAATTTAGAAGAAAAGCCAATGATTACTTGAAATCCATTCTTCACAAAGGTTATTAGAAAAAGCCGATCCGCGCTCTCAGAGGGGCTCGAGTGTATCAAATCGCCACATTTTGACAGTTCCAGCAGTCAGACTGTTCTAATCATGTCGAGCTTCGCTTCGAGGGAAAATGACACGCTGGTAATCACAACCATTTCCTGCTTGTTTCCTTTTTTGACAGCTTGGCTTCTTATTTTGATGACATACAGAGCTGTCACACGGGAGCGCGAGGTCCTCCAGGGGTCTGCGTGTGACCTACAGCTGGGCGGACTGTAGGGGGTCTTAATTAAAGAGAAATGTATTTAAAGTTCTCAGATGAGGGTTATTTGAGTCTGCAGCTCTAATTGCTAATAGCGCTCTGCTGTCCTAATGCTCCGCCCTCTTCTCTACAGAGCAAGACCTTCTGCGCCAAGAGCTCAACACCCGTTTCCTGGCGTCCCAGAGCGCCGACCGCGGTGCCTCGCTTGGCCCCCCGCCCTACCTGCGCACTGAGTTCCACCAGCATCAGCACCAGCATCAGCACCAACACACCCACCAGCACACCCACCAGCACACCTTCACGCCCTTCCCACACGCCATCATGCCCACCCCAGCACCGCCCATGGTGCGTACCCCTGCCAGAAATGTGAGGATAAGTAGAACACACCTGTGTTGGGTTGGGGCGGTGGGCGGGGCAGGGGTCTACGTTCTCGTAATGACTTCTACATGTGCGGAGCGGTGGGCGGCTATGGCACCAAAAAGTGTTTTTGCGTTGCGGTTTGGGAGCGCGAAGACTTCGTATTTTATTTTTTAAATACTCTGACATGTGTGAGAGCGGCACGCCGTGGGGACCTGCGGGTTTCTGTGGCGGCCGTTCAACGATGACCGTGCGCATCCGTCCACGCCACAGCGATGCCTTTATTCTCCCACAAAGCCTTTCTAGTGTTTTCTCTGGCATACGCTGAGACTCCAGACTTGAACGCTGTTATTTTCTAAATTGGCAATAACTTGCCCTGGAGCATGTTAACTTCAGAGCCAGCTTTCAGAACATAATACACTTAATTCATTCTGATTTTAATGACATCATTTGGTCCCATTTGGGGGTTTTCATTACTGGCAAATGTATTGCATTAAGAGCCGCGCAGTTTGGGAGAGAACCACAGGCAATGGGTGCCTGAACCTAAACTCTCACAAACACATACACATTTGTAACTGCCTGACCCACAGAGGTTTGCTTGGCTCTGATGATACCTCAAAGGCAGCATAGCGAGGCCTCTGACAGCTAATGAGGCCATAAAAAGGCTCTTTATGGCTGCAGTGTTTAGTCTTGACTGTGGAAATGTTCGCCCTGAGCCTGCGCCGCACCACTAAAAGCCAACCAAATGAGAGCCAGCTCATGCTAGTTTACAAGGTCTTCAGATGATCAGGAAACGGGGGAGGATGAAAACATTGTGGCGCGGGGAGTGGTTGAACTTGGCTCCCGCTCGGTAGACGTCTTAGATCTTCATCTATAATCGTATTTTCGGTTTTAAATGCAGTTTGTGATGTTTTTTTGTGTGTTGGCCTGAAACAAAAGAGGCCAATCTTTGTACTTAGCTCTGTTTCATTTCTCCTACAGTTTGACAAATATCCAACAAAAGTCGACCCCTTCTACAGACACAGTGTGAGTTTCTCTACTGCGTACTAGCTTCCAGCTTCAGATTTGTTGCTTGCCCATTTTGCCATTTCAGCCCATGCACCGTACATCTGCTTCCTAACGGTTACTGCTCCATGTCACCCTTCGGCCGTAGCTAATGATGTGATGCAACAGATCGGGATTCTTAAATCCTGGAGTTTAACAGTTACTGTGTGCATGTGATGATAAACACAGTTGCTACGTTACTTCTCTGTCTCGCTTATTTCCTTTTTTCCAGTCACCAGCAGTGGCGTCCTCAAAATTATTATTCAATAAAAGCAAATGATTTCAAACACTGGACTCGCTGTCCTATCGTTTTGCTGAAATTTTCAGAGCGTGCTTCTGCCTAGTGTGCTTTTTCTACAGACTATTAAACTGATTTGTCCTCGATAGCTAGGAGGCAGATTTTACTATCATAAAAACCTATTTGTATTCAGATCGACCCGCTTCCTAGTTTGTTTTTAAGTGCTTCATCTTTTTTTGTTTTTTCCCCCGCTGGTATAATGGTCCCGGCAAACACGCTGAAAGCATTCCTTCTCTATAAAACATAGTGGCATCTTAATACTTGGTGCACAAGAGGAGTGGAGTTGCATTTAAAAAGCTTGCAGCACACCCTCGAGTCCAGCTTTAAAGAATTCCAATGCACGACTGCAGCAATGCAAGCACGTTTGCCAAACACGCACTCGTTACTTCGGCTAATATGACTGTTAGGGACAATTATGCAAAGCAGATGATTGCATATCTGTTTCTCTACATACAGATACGTTTATGAAAGCCTCGAGCGCTTGTTTGACTTACTTGTGTTTTGCGTGTATTACAACATTCTGCTTTTCATATCAAAGGAGGTTTTTTCTCCTGATTTAAATCCAGCGGGAACAAGCAGTGAATATTTGATAAACAAGCCGTTTGTGTAACACGTAGGCAATCATTTGTAACTAAGCAGTCACTGCGATTAAACTGCGAGGTTTAAACACCACCACAAACTGCCTGCTCTGTTTAGACTGACTCATAAAGCCGCATTTCACCGATAGACCGAATCGTCCTCACGCCTCCTCTCGCTCTTTTCTTCTTCCAGCTCTTCCACTCCTACCCTCCAGCCATGTCTGGCCTTCCCCCTGTCATCCCCCCAACCGGGCCCTTCAGCTCGCTGCAGGGGGCCTTTCAGCCCAAGGTGAGACACCACCACACACCCACAGACAGACTAGCCGGGAGGGGGCGAGTTATATTCAGAGAATAATTTTTCGATCCGTCTGCTGCTCTCCAGACCTCTAATCCACTGGATGTTTCCGCAAGACCCGGAGCCGTCCCACACACGTTCTTACAGAAGGACCCCAGGGTAAGAGCACGTACACACCACCCACCGTGCACCAGGAGACCGGACTGTACAGGCTCCATAGGTTTGCTTTATTAGGATCCACATTAGCAGCAGCCTCAGCAAGCAAGCTGTTCTCATACAGGAAGTGTTAAAAATGCATTAAAATACATATGAATAATTTACCACATAGAGTCTATTTCTGATCTATTGATCAGCGGTGAGTCGTAGATTGACAGACGTGTCAGCGTGTTTGTTTGCAGAAGGCCACGCAGGAGGAACCCGTTTAAACACCCGCGTGTTAATTACCCCTGAAACGCTTAATTTTAAAGTGAACAGTTTGACATTTTAATTTGGTTCCTAATGAATGCTACACACAAGGACTAATTAGAAATGATTTGACTGACAGCAGAATAATTCATGTTCTCTCTCTCCGTCCTTCCTGAAGCTAACGGATCCGTTTCGGCCGATTCTCAGGGTGAGTGCTCGCTCCCTGCAGTGTCTCCGTCTCCTGCTCCCTCGCAATAATCACTGCGATGCCTTGAAGGTCTTTGCTAATGGAGTTGATAGTGTCTTTAATTAAATGGGGGCTGAGTGTACTCGTTTACGGGGCTCATTTTGAAGAACGCTGCAGCGCGTGTGTTATGAAACCTTGTCAGTGACGCCTCGCTGTCACACGCCAGCATGTGCATGGTTCATTCAGCACACCTACATTTCTTAGCCTTTTAATATGTGATTAGTAGTCATAGTACCGTATTGATTAGATGACACTGTGTTTTTTGGTCACACCATTTTCTTTCTTGTTCTTAATTAAATAAATTTTCTTGTTCTTACAGAAACCGGGGAAGTGGTGTGCCATGCATGTCCATATTGCCTGGCAGATATACCACCACCAACAGAAAGTAAAGGTGAGGACTCGTCTAACCCCTCCTAACACAGTGTGGCCAAGGCTGGATTTAATCTCCTAGGACCTGACGTCACATTTTGGGTTGTCTAGACCACAATACTAAATTTTGCTCTACAAGGGCCTGATATCCACTTACGAGGACACTATACTGCCACTGTCCTATCAAAATTTAAAACGAATGTGGATCTCATTTTTCTCAGAAACAAAAATCAGGTAAAAAAACAATACAGTAATTCTTTGTTTTTACATTCATCAGATCCCAATCAGCCCAAATAGCAAAGAGAAATTAAAAATGCATGAAAGAGTTCAGGTCTTAGGAGGCTAATACTGGGTCAGTTTAGCAAAGTCCAATTTTCAATTCAGTTTTATTTATAAAGCACCAAATCACAACAGCAGTCGCCTCAAGAGGCTTTATATTGTAAGGTAGACGCTACAATAATACATACAGAGAAAAACCCAACAATCATATGACCCCCTATGAGCAGCACTTTGGCGACAGTGGGAAGGAAAAACTCCCTTTTAACAGGAAGAAACCTCCGACAGAACCAGGCTCAGGGAGGGGCGGGGCCATCTGCTGTGATTGGTTGGGGTGAGAGAAGGAAGACAGGATAAAGACATGCTGTGGAAGAGAGACAGAGGTTAATAACAAACACTTCCACTCTCTATAGACACTGTTAACTCATTTGTATTAATTGAACTGCAAAATAAACCCAAACTCCTGATGGTTCGCTCTGTGGATCTGGCTCTAGTTTCTCTTCTGGAAAAATCACTTCATCAGTTAAACCACAGAATTGTTCCGTGTCTTCTGTGATCAGCTGATTTCACCGTTGTACTCAGTAGAAGTCGCTTCACACACCGTTGATAATAAATTGACATTTAAATTGTATGGTTTGCATCCTCCTTTTGCTTCTGGAGGTTAGCGTAATGCTTTGATTGTGACACCTCACTGGAACTTAGCAGTCAGTCACCTCCCTTGATGGCTTTAACTATTTTTCCTTCCCAACACGCCTAAAACCAGCGTCTCTGTGTGCAGCAGGAGTAGGACCCAAATGCAGACTCAGAGGCAGGACGTGAACTCACAAACCACAGCTTTACAATACAAAACTAACCTGGAAAAACCAAAGAATCCAAATACACGGGGGGAAACACAGGGAGAGACAGACAGCCATGAGGGAGACGCTGACGTAAATATACAGAAGGATAACGAGGGAAGTGAGGACACACGGGGAGCAGGACGGGGGACACAAAACTGAACAGGACGAACACGGAAACACGAGACCTTCACAATAAAACAGGAAGATGATGCGGGAGGAGGAGAGGCAGACGAGACGGACTTGGGCAAACACAGATAAACGTGATGGAATAAAACACAAGGAGGGAAAACACGGCACAAGAACTCACACAACTTTACAAACACAGACGCACAAAAGGGGACGAAGAGGGCAAAGGTTAGCGTAGAAGAAACTCAGGATTACCACTAAGAATAATAAACCATCACACAAAAGGTCATAAAAACACAAGAAACACCAAATGCTGGGTCAAAAGGAGCCTCTGATAGCTCAGGTTTTACATGTGTTTCTCTCTGTACCTTTGGCGTCTTTCAGCAGCAGATGCAGGTCGACCCTCACAAGCTAGACTTCGGCCTCAAGCCCGAGTTTCTGAGTCGACCCCCGGGCCCCAGCCTCTTTGGTGCTATCCACCACCCCGGCGACTTGGCGCGGCCCGCCACGCTTTTCTCCGCTGCAGGTGAGTGCATCAGCTGTCCGATTGATCAGTGGCCGCCTCTCATATTCAGCAGCAGTCGGTCCTGCTGTTCAGAGCTAGCATCGTCTGTGGTGAATGAGTGAAATCAGCAAACCCGACAGAATGATCTCCACCAGAGTAAACATCAGAGATATATCTCACCTTTCTTTAGGTTGGAGCTGTTGGGTCAATCTCTGACTTCCTGTTTCTGTTCTTGGACACTGTTGCAGCTCTACAGTTCACTCATACTGCGCCACGCTTGGCTCCTGTATATGAAACGTTCATGTTTAAAACAGTCATGAGCATGTGACAACAACACGCACAAATCAGAGTGAAAGAACAGATCATCCAACGTGCCTCTTAAAGGAATACTGGATAAAGCAGAGGATATTCGATTAGTCCATGAAATGGGTTTTAGTGATGTTAACAAGGTCCCCGTTTGCTGTTAAATACAGGCAGACCTTGAAGTCGCACTTTGGGTTAGTACAGTCGTCTCTGGTGCTCCTGGTGTAGTTTAAGTATCCACAGACTGCAGATGTGAGTCAGCCTTTTTCCCTCTATGTTGGATCTGGTTATTAAACTTCAAGCCGCAGCAGTGCTGGGTTTGCTTCATTCAGCCTGTAACTAGCCAGGTATCATCAAGACATAACAGCGACAGTTTTCCAGGCAGTGTGTGGAATTCCTGAGTTTAGCTTAACTATCCCAAGATTAGGTCATCAAACTACCACAACGCCCCCCTCTGCTACTATTACTTATTTGGCTCTGCGTCAGTGTCCCAAAATGTCAGGTTGTCATAATGTCCGATGCTGCAACTGGACAAAACGCCAACAAATGAAGAAAATATCTTTACTAAAGATGAAATACGACAAAACAGCAGGAAAAAAGCACCGTTTTCACAGGACTCGCTGCAGTGTTTGGTGCTGCGCTTTATGGCCAAACGGCTGTTTTAGTCTCGTCTGTCTGAAGGACTCGGACGTCATTTCAAACATTTGCCGTTCTGCCATGTTCACTTTAAAGAGGACAAGCTGTCTCCTTGCACTCTTTCCAAATACACTTGTTCCCTGCCTTTCTAACTACACTGTAATACTGTGGAACATTTAGCACGCTAACAGAGGCCTGCAGCTTTGTGTCATCTCCTGGGAAGATTGTGGCGTTTTATTACCACACACCTGAGTGCTAGCACAAACCGATGATCAGTTATTAAAGTGAATTTGATTATCGGCACCTGGCTGCTGTTAATTCCTTTAGAAGTACGGGAGGTACTCGGTGTACTCACTGCATAGAGCCCTGAGAAAACTTTTTTTACACTTCAATCTTTTATTAATCCCAAAAGTTGTAAAGCTGTAAGCATTGCAGCTTTCTGCTTGCTTACTATTAGCTTTCTAGTGCAGATAATCTTGGGATAACTAGCTGGCTTTATCCTCATTACTTACACCAACAGCTGAGCTAAAGCTGATCATCTGGGAGAGCATGATCAGGCTGCACAGTAAATCATCTGGGCAGCAGATTTCTGCAGCGATATATAACAACTTAGATCGTAGCCATTGTCCCCACAACATCTGTCCTGAGCCTGTGCTGTTGGTCTTTGTGTGGAGCTCTCAGGGCCAAAGTCGTACAAGGAAAGTCTTAAATCTTTCAGCTGATTCTCCTTGTTTGCTATGCACAGTATCATTAAATGCAATTAATCTCGTACTAACAGGAGCATCGTTGTTTCTCTTTTGACGTGATGATGGGACTTATGTAAGAGTTGACTTTGAAGAGAAACACGCGTGTAAACGAATTGCTGCTTTAATGGCTGTGCCTGTAATCTACAGTCGACTAATAAGTTCGTGGCTGTTTATTTACAGATGCTTTTGTCTGCACAAAAATACTGAAGGACATTTTTCTGAACTTTAACTTTACAGTTAAAGTTTTTAAAATACGAATTATTTATCGATTGGCTCTTACTGACAGCTCCAGAAAGACTTCACCAGTTGACCAGTTAACACTTACTTTTGCTGATGTTACAGTCTGTGGTTATCCTCCTCCTCAGGTCCTACGCACCCATCTGCAGCTCCCTTTGGCCATCCACCGCACCATCCTGGAAACTTTCTTCCTCCAGCATCTCATTTAGGTAACAGCACGCTTCATCTCAGTCTGACCGATCCAAAACGAGGGTGTTGATTGCATCAGCGCTAACATGCTGTGTCTTCTCCCAGAGCCTTTCAGTAGGCCTCCATCGTTTGGAGGACTGGGATCTCTCAGCTCGTCGGCCTTCGGGGGATTGGGCAATCCAGCACTAAGTGAGTTTCAGCCTCAAGAAAGACACTTGCTTGGGAGTGGCCACATGAGAAACCGTGACTGTTGTGGAGGGTCACAGTTTCTCATGCGGTCCCTCGGGAAAATCTGTCGCCCACCTGTAGTTTAGGTGGAGTAATCCTCTCACTGTTTGTAATGCTGCCTGCATATGAGGGTCAGCAGAGATACGCATTTAACTTGCGTTCCATGTTTTTCCACGTGTTGAATCCCTAACAGGGGCCAACTCGGTGTTTGGCCACAAAGATGGCCCAAACGTGCCACAGCACTTCAACAGCAGCAGTAACAACAGCCACCAGGAGCCGTGGAACCGCCTGCATCGCACGCCACCTTCGTTCCCCACGCCGCCACCCTGGCTGAAACCCGGAGAGTCTGAGAGGAGCGCGTCGGTGAGCTCACACGAGAGGGACCGAGACTCTGACAAACGGGACTCGTTGGTCAGTAAAGAGGACAAGGACAGGTGGGTGGTGAACAATGTAACAACTATATGAGTAATGTGGTCAGTGTGTGAGTGCAACAAAGTGACAGTTTAATGAACAACAATTCCATTCAATTCAATTTTATTTACACAGCGCCAAATCACAACAGCACAGTACAGTAGATCGCACAATAATACATCATATGACCCCCTGTGAGCAGCACTTTGGTGACAGTGGGAAGGAAAAACTTCCTTTTAACAGGAAGAAACCTCCG